GCTGAGACAGGAGAATTCTTGAACCTAGGAGGCAGAGGTTGCAGTGAGCCGAGATTGCACCACTGCACTCCAGCCTGGGCAACACAGCAAGACTCCATCTCAAAAAAAAAAAAAAATACAGTATTATAATTTTATGTGACCACCATCATATACGCAGTCTCTCATGACAGAAACATTGCTATGCAGTGTATGATTGCAGATACACACGCACACATACACAAACACACACACACACATACAGTCATCTCACAGTGGTTCCAGGACCTCCCATAAATTCCGAAATCCATGAATGTGCAAGTAAGTCCCTGATATGAAATGGTGACATATTTGCATATAACCTACACACATCCCCCCATATACTCTAAATCATCTCTTGATTACTTATAATACCTAAGACAATGTAAATGCTGTGTAAATAGTTGTTATACTGTATTGTTTAAGGCATAATGACAAAACAAAGGTCTGAATATATTCGGTACAGACGTTTTTGATCCACAGCTGGTTGAATTCACAGATGCGGAACCCATGGCCAATTGTATATAGTTTGTTTTTTGTTTGTTTTTGTTTTGTTTGAGACAGAGTCTCACTCTGCCACCAGGCTGGAGTGCAGTAGAGTGATGTCAGCTCACTACAACCTCCACCTACCAGGTTCAAGTGATTCTCTTGCCTCAGCCTCCCAAGTAGCTGGGACTACAGGTGCGCACCACCACGCCCAGCTAATTTTTGTATTTTAGTAAAGACAGAGTTTCACCATGTTGGCTAGGATGGTTTCAATCTCGACATTGTGATCCACCCACCTTGGCCTCCCAAAGTGCTGGGATTACAGGCGTGAGCCACTGCGCCTTGCTGTATATAGTTTTTAATACATAAAATAAATAGGATAATAATATATTTTATGTTCCTAAAATCCTTTTATTGCCCATAGGCTTTAGCAGACTGACAACAAGAGAGTCTGTGGCACGTAGAGAAGTAGAGTAAGGGCCTGGGCCAGCACCAAGGTGGGAGGATCACTTGAGCCCAGGATTTTGAGACCAGCCTGGGCAACATGGCAAAACCCTATCTCTACAAAAATTTAGCTGAGTGTGATGGCACAGGCAGCTTCCTGTAGTCTCAGCTACTTGGGAGGCTGAGGTAAGAGGATTGCTTGGGCCCAGGAGTTTGAGGCTGCAGTGAGCCGTGATTGCGCCACTGCACTCCAGCCTGGCCAACAGAGTGAGACCCTGACTCAACGACAACAACAACGAGAAAAGGTAGTGTTCTCACTTTAGTTGCCAGATGGTGGGGAAGTGGAGGGTGACTCCAGGGGAGGGGCCAGGCTAGGCGGCCTGGGACAGCAGCTCTTTAATAGCTGGAAGGGAAGATCTCAATATTTTAACCACTGGTTTTGCAGTCCCAGTGAGCACGCTGTAGGCCAGCCCAGGAGGGCATGAGCTGTGGGTTTCCCTGTAGTGCTTGGGCTTTCCTGCTCCAGCCAGGGACAGAATTCTCATGACACCCCTAAAGAGTCAATGCAGGCCAGCCGTGGTGGCTTACGCCTGTAATCCCAGCACTTTGGGAGGCTGAGTCAGGCAGATCACCTGAGGTCAGGAGTTCAAGACCACCCTGGCCAACATGGTGACACACCGTCTCTACAAAAATACAAAAATTAGCTGGGCATGGTGGCAGGTGCCTGTAATCCCAGCTATTCAGGAGACTGGGGCAGGAAAAGAATCGCTTGAACCCGGGAGGCAGAGGTTGCAGTGAGCTGAGATCATGCCATTGCTCTAGAGCCTGGACAATGGAGTGAGATCCATCTCAAAAAAAAAAGAAAGCAAAAATGACTGACCCATTTCAGAGACAAAAGAGAATTCCCCCTTCAAGGTCAACAGCTCACCAACATCAGAGCTGAGACTAGCCCCACCTCCACCCTGTCTTCCTCCTTCTCCTGCCCAGGGAGCCTCTAGGTTCCTAGGGACGGTGCTAGGAACTAACTGCAGCAAGACGTACCATTTGCAATAGGACTAGTACCAGAGGCATGAAGACTTAAAGGAAAGCATGGGGCCACGGCTTTCCCCTACCTAGGGTCCTCCAAGCCCAAGGGACGTGGACCTCTTTTCAGGATGAGTGCCAACTGGATGCATCTTCCCTTCCAGCTGTTAAAGAGCTGTTTCAGAGATGAGAACCTCAGAATAGGGACCCTCCTCTCTGAAGGTGGAAGTGCAGCAGTCCCAGTCTAGACCCTCAACCTGGTTCTACTTGAACCAGCAGCAATGAGTAGAACTATTAACAGGATGGTGGGAAAAAGTCTTCTTCCTTGCTATAGCTTCTCTGCAGACGTGTGACCCAATAAACTACAACAGCAAAACCAGCCGTATAGGGTGCTTCCGTACCATACAGCCTCATCTGCAAACAAATCCCTCCCCTCCATATTCTTATCCACGTTCTCCTTCTTTACCTTTGTGGCAACTGATGGTTCCTGCCCACGTGCTTTGTGATGAATTCTTTTCTCCAAAGCATGGTCCTGCTCCCACCTCCCTGGAGGCTCACTCCTCCTATCTCCATTGGTTCCTTTCCTTCCGCCCTGCTCTCAAATACTGGCCTTTCCCAAGGTGATACATTCTCATTCAGGGACCCTCAACTGGGGGATGGGGATTCTTGTAATAACATTGTTTGGGAGAGTCCCAGTAATTGCAGGACATTTGGCATTCCTGTCCCCTGCTCACTAAATAACCACAGTGTCAGTGGAGGACCCCATGATCTCAGCCACCATCACAGCTTCAGCAATCACCTTGTGGTCAATGGCTTCTACAATCACCACCTCCAGCCCTTATTCCCCTCCTGGTCTCAGGGCCTGTCTTTCCTGTCTTCTGGTCATTTCCCTCATGCCCCAGCATGTCTCAATCTGAGGTCATCATCTCCCAGTAGCATCTCCCCTGATCCAACCTGCATTCCCAAGCCCAGTGATGGCACCCCTAGCTACCCTAGCACCCAGGCCACAAAGCAGGCAGTCAGCCTCGCCTCCTCCCTCTCTCCAACCCACTCATCCAATCAGCCACCAGTCCTCGGGATTTCACCTCTTAAAAATATCAATTTCATCTGTTTCTCTCCATCTCTGAGGACACTGATCTAATTCAGGTTCTCTTTCTCTCTCACCAGATTCCTGCAGTACCCTCCTCATCCTCACTGCCCCCTGCCCTTAGTATGGTCGTGCATGGAGCCAGACTGCCTGGATTCAAATACTGCTTCTGCCACTTCGTAGCTGCGCAATATTGGCTAGGCGCAGTAACCTCGCTGGGCCCACATCTTCTGTAAAATAGGCATAATAGTGGCTTCCTCAGAAATGACCGTGTTTTATGAGTTAACACATGTAGAGCACCCAGTCCCGGGCCCGGCACTCAGTAAATCTTGGCCATTATCAGTCTCATTCTTTCCAATCCACCCTTCACTCAGCAGCCAAAGATAATCTGACCAGGTCATGCCCACTTAATCCTCCTCAGGTGTTCCCCACCTCTCGGAAGGCCCACTCCTGAGGCTCTGCAGATGTCTTCCTTTCACATTACATTCACTCTTGAAGACACCTAGGCTCACGCTCATAGTCCTAGCACTTTGTGAGGCCCAAGGCAGGAGGATCCCTTGAACCCAGGAGTTTGAGACCACCTTGGGCAACATAGGAAGACCCCATCTCAAATAAATAAATACACCTGACAAATCTTGCCTCTGAGCCTTAGCTTATGCTGTTCCCTGTGCCTAAGCACTCTTTCCATCTCTTCCCATCACAAGTAACGGCTCCAGTGCTGCCACCTCTAAAACTCCCCTCCAGAACCCTCCACACAGAACGACTCTGTTGCTCTCCATGTACCCAGTCTTTTTTTTTTTTTTTTTTTGGCTAGGGACGAGTATGTGTTCCTTGTGTTTCACTCATTTCAGAATTCCCAGAACTCAGTGCAGATCCTAGCCCCACCGCCTGCTCCCAGTAAGAGCTTCACAGAATCAAGCTGAATTCCAGCACTTCTGGGCCTCCTAGGGCCAGAGCTCCTCAGCCCAGAGGGTGGGTCAGCTCCAGGCAGATCCGGAGGGCCTGGAACTGTAGGGTGTAGGGTGTGCTGTCTGCCCACCTCAGTTCCTTAATTTCCTCCATGAAGGAGCCCCCTCCTCTGAATCTGGGGAGAGGGTGGAGGCTGAGAGCAAGTGTTATGTGCAGGGCTGCCCAGGCATGGGGGCTCCCCAAGGCAGCTGAGGACAAGGAGATGGCTCCAGGCCTTAGCCAAAGCCCTGCCACCTTCTATGATGAGGGCTAAAAGCACAACCCAATGGTCCTAGTGGCCTCTGGGGTTCAGGGAAGACAGCGTGGAGGACAGGGCTGCCTCCTCCACACCTTCCCTCCCACCCTGGAATTCAGGGCCTTTGTTTCAGCCTCTGTCCTGCCAGGGTTGACTCTGACTTTGGGCCAAAGCTTCCCCTCTCAGGATCTGGGTCTGCTTCATCACAAGAAAGACCCTCTCCAGCTCCATCCCGTTCTAAATGCTGACTCTAGGTGGTATCAGGGCACAGAGAATCAGGGGTCAGGAAGACCAAGGGGTTAGAGTGCACTGGAGGGTGGGAGGCAGGAGAAATTTTTTGTTTGTTTGTTTTGTTTTTGTTTTTTTTTTTTGAGACGGAGTTTCGCTCGTTACCCAGGCTGGAGTGCAATGGCGCGATCTCGGCTCACCGCAACCTCCGCCTCCTGGGTTCAGGCAATTCTCCTGCCTCAGCCTCCTGAGTAGCTGGGATTACAGGCACGCGCCACCATGCCCAGCTAATTTTTTGTAGTTTTAGTAGAGACGGGGTTTCACCATGTTGACCAGGATAGTCTCGATCTCTTGACCTCGTGATCCACCCGCCTCGGCCTCCCAAAGTGCTGGGATTACAGGCGTGAGCCACCGCGTCCGGCCTGTAGGAGAAATTTTTTACTACCCTAAGCACATTCCTGCCTATCCCCCCTCCCTTCTTTGCCCATCACATAGAGGCTGGCCACACCTGAGAACAGAAAAGGAGAAAGTTTATTGAAAACTATATACAGCTGGTCCAGCTCCTAACATGGGCTGCAATCTCAGCCAGTCCCGCCCACACCTCAGGCAGTGTCCTGGCCCCTCATGGGAGGGATGGGGCTGGGCCTAGGGCCCAGACTCCCTTGGGTGGCTTGGCAGCTGGAGCCCACCGTGATCTTTGTAAGGTACAACTCTAAATGGCCTGAAGGTAGTGGGCGAGGGACAGGGCATGGATCCCTGCCTGACCTAGTCACAGCCTTGATAGGGGAACACTATTCTGAAACTGGGCCCAAGGAGGGCTGAGCTAAGTCGTCTGGAAGTCCTGATTGCTCCTCTCATAGGCCTTCCTAGATGTGGAGGCAAGCAGCCTCCCTACGACCCCACCCCACGCAGCAGGCCCCATGGGCTTCACCGGCTTGAGCGGGACACCAGGTACCCTTCCTCCCAACACTGACTCAGGGTCCAGGTCTCCTGGGGCACTTCCCAAGCAGAGGACTTGGGGTTCAGGGGTGAGCGTTGGGGAGGTCACAGCTCCGGGCCCAGAACCAGAGCGTCCTGGGGTGGGGCCAGCTGTGGGGTCAGGGCGTCCCGCTGTAGGAATAGTCTGCTTTGTTGTGCATCACCAGCCGGTCATCCACGAAGTAGAAGCTGTCAGACTGGGTCTCATACGGGTGGCGGATCATCTCGCTTACTGCAAGAGAGGCCCAGCCAGGCCGGGCAAAGGTCAGGAGCCTAATTCCCGCCACTGGAGGGACTTCAGGACTGGGGTTTGCGGATGGCAACAACTTGAGATATCCCCAGCCTCTTTCTCTACAGATGATATGAGACTGGCGCCACACACAGAGCCCCAGGGCGGGGAGAAATGGGATCAGACCCACAAGTCCCCCTCCCTCCCACAGCTCGGTCTCTACACGCCCCCCACGTCTCCCACCCCCCACATCCCCACTCGCAGAAAGCCCTGCCCACGCACTCAATTCCTCGGAGAGAGGGGGGAAGTCGTAGATGTGCTCGCAGGTGTTCTTGCTGCTAGGGATGCAGAAGCCAAAGTGGAAGTCAAAGCTTTTGAGTAGCTGGTTGCGGAAGTAGTGCCTCTCGATCATTCGGAAGTTGTTGACAGGCTTGTCTCCCACCGTGAACTCCACCCTGAGCAAGAGAAGGAGGCAAGGCTGAGTCTGTCCTTGAAGTCAGCCAGCCAGACAGGCTCGGCACAGGCCACCCCTAGGAGAGGCTGACAAGGGCCCACTCCCACCCTCTCCCTCACCCCCCGACCCCACCCCCTGCCCAGTGACTCACGTGGCTCCCACCTGCCTCAGACGGAGGAAGGCAGGTGTGAACTGGTAGCGGACAAAGCGCCCAGCATTGGGGTCCAGGTCCCGCCGGCTGATGGGCAACCGCTCTGCAATGTACCCCCGCTGGGGCTCAGTGGACTTCAGGCTGGGCCCTTGTCCACCCAGGGTTCTATCCTCAGGCCCCCATCTGTCTGAATTTTTTATAACTCCCCAAGAAATTCTGGGGCACACTGAGGGGTCAGACCATTGGCCGAATAGCGCCACCTAGGGGTTCTAGGTCTGCAGTTTCCCAATCGCCACTGTGGTTCCCAGGACCCATAGGACTGCAGTTCCCAGAGAGGCCTGTAGAGGTCAGGCTGCCAGGGACAGAAGGGGCAGGGCTGACCTCGGAAGATGTCCAGCCTCAGAAACAAATGGGCAGGAAAAGAAGGGGCCCTCTCTGCCTGCAGACTCCTGAGAACGCTGGGGTCCAAGCCCCAGCTCTGTGGACTCCTCTGTGGCCCAAGGAGTCCCTGGCAGCCCAGTCCACAGCTCGTACCTGTCAATGGCCCACCCAGCCCACTCACCTGAAGCTGGGGGCTTCTTGATTTCAAAGAGGACAGTGCCTGAGTCCATGTCCCGAATCTTAAACCTGACGAAGTCGATCTTGTAGATATTCTCCTCAGGGGAGCAGAGGTAGTCTAGGGGAGACAGGCAGCTGAGCAAAGAAGGGGCCCCAAAGCCCCTGCTGCCAGGTCAGCTTGTGGGAGACCCCAGAGTAGCTACCATCTTCTCATCCCTGGGATCACTGCCCTCTGGAAAGAGGAACCTGAGCCCCTGCCATAGGGGTACACCCCCAGTGTGAAAGAGACATCACTCCGCCATGGGGATCTAACAGGGGATAAGGAGAGCCATCCCAGTGGCCTCTGGGGGGGCAATGAAGGGCAGGGCAGAGAAAGATGGAGGACAAGGCCACCTCCCGGACACTCTCCCTCCCACCCTGGAGTTGAGGGTCCTCATTCTGGCCTCTGCTCTGCTAAGGCTGGCTAGGTGACTTTGGGAGAACTGGATCTCCAGCGTGGTGGGAGCCTCTCCTCTCATTTGGGAACAACTTCCTGCAGTCTGACCTGCCTCTTCTACTGAAAACTCAATCTCTCAACCTCTCTGTTGCCTTTGAGAACCACACTGTAAAGCGGGGGACCACACAGCTCTGCCTGGTGGAGTCACAGTCCTTCTCTGGAGGATACCCCTACTCTTGTCCCACGGTTGCCCCTGGCATGATATCTAGATGTGTCAGGTGAGGCTGATGTTGAGGGGACTTTCTCTGACACGGGTGGTGCTGGGGCAGGTGAACAACCCCTTCCCTGTTCCTCCTCCCCTCCCAACCCCCTCCTCTCAGTAAGAGGCTTACACCAGCCCAGCTCCCTTAAGCAGCTTAACCAAAGCTCTGCTGACTCAAGCCCAGAGCCTGGGATATGGCAGGGGGAGGAGGCCAACTTCGCTCTCATCCTTTGTTGATCTCCAAATGGGAGGAAGTCTTAGCAAGCAGAGGGAACCCCCTTAGAGGTCATTTACACAGCCCTGGCTCTGAGCCACCTCCCTGGAGAAAGTAGCCCCCGACCCCCATAGAGAAGAACACAGGCTAGGCCAGGAAGAGGGTATGGCAGGTGCAGCAGCGGTTGTGGAAGGGGTAAGGGGGGTCCTCAGGCCCAGAAGGGGAACCAAGAACAGTGGGAGGCCCTGCCTGAGGAAGCTTAGGGACATCCAGGGCCTTATCTAACCCTCACAGCTCTTGCAGCAGCAACTTCAAGTGCTCAGGGAGGCCCTGGCAACAAAGAGAGCTGAGAGGTACGGGGAGGGACTCTGGTGCTATCAGTCGGCGCGGCATCACATCCTCCCTTGGTGGCCTATGGAGGCCCAGAAATCACCCTCCAGGCCCCTGGGCCACCTCCTAATCCTCTGGGGCAGGAAGAGGAAGTGAATATAAAGTCATTTTCTCTTCCCCAGGCCCACTTCTTCCCCAAGCCTGATGCAGTCCCCTCCAGGAAGCCCTCCTGGCAGTTATCTGTTACCCCGGGGCCCAGTATAGACTTTACACAGCTTGGGGAAGAGGCAGGTCCCTGAGTCTACTACAGCCCATGGGTGGGGGTGGGGGGAGAATGGAAGCGGGCCACCCCTACCTCACCCTGTTCACAGAAAGTAAGCACCAGTATAAAGACACAGAGAAGGTACAGAGCATAGGGAACGGAGGTGGCAGAGTGGGGAGCAGGATCCTCGTGCCCAGCTCCCAGGTCCATAAGGCCTTCTCGCCTCCCATTCTCCACTTTCGAAGCCTCTCTCATTTGGCAACAACTTCCTGCAGTCTGAGCTCAGTGCCTTCTACTGAAAACTCAATCTATCAGCCTCTCTGTCCTTAGAGGAAGTGAGGAACAGGGATGTCCATAGCTCAGAACACCATGACCATTCCTTCCCTTCTAGAAAGGATGAGGCCTGGAACCCAGGGTCAGGTCAAAATAAGGGGCAGAGTGGCCAAGGGCTCAGACCACAACTGCTCCATTCCTCCCAGCCATAAATAGCTTCCTAAGCTGGATTCAGGGCCCAGTAATCTGGGAACAGCAAACCTCAGACCTACGTGATTAGGGTCAGAAGAGACCAGGCAAGGGGTGCCAGGGTGGAAAGCCCTGGAACTCGATTCTCAACTCCTGCACAGGAAGGGGTTCCCATAAAGCCCTTTTCCCGATTTACCCTCCACAGATGCCTGATCTCTAAGGGCTAAGTATTTCCTCCAAATTAGGAGACAAATGGTGGTACATGAGCTGGAAGCTCCCTCTAGTTGCAACATAAACCCCCAAAGTTACTTAGAACTCAGTCAGTCTGACCTCTGGACTTCCTCTGAGAAAGTTCTGCCCCAGAGCTAAGCTGAATCCTAAATGCTGCTGTTGCAAATTGTAGCCCAACTGGCTTCAACATCAGCCTGGTCCAGGCCCCCTCCCTCCATCGATGCCTGCTTGGGCACGGGAGCTCAGCACTCTGGGGGCCCAGCCAAGAATGGCTGCTGCCCCGCTCAGAAAGGAGAGAGGAGTGGGCCCCCCAGTGACCCAGGAGCACCAGCTCAAGGCTGCCTCCCCTCCACAGCTGTGTCTGGGAGCCCTGTGGTTCTGCTGCTTTGGAAGCTCCAGGGCTCAGGTCCACTTCAAAACCTGCCCCTCATACCCACAGAGAGGAGCCCCAACAGTTATCCTCACAAAGGGGGCCAAGGCAGGCTGCTGGTGGATGAGGCCAAGGTGGAGAGCCACCGTCTCTCCATGCACAGCTCATCCTTTGAGGCTCAGCCAAGGCCTCTGCTATGAGGTTTCCCAGCCCTCCTTCCCTGCCTATCATGACCCCCTCCCCTGCCCTGAAGGCCAAGTTGTTTGACTCCAGGCAGCAGCCATGAGCAGCCTTGTAGGGCCCAAATACTACTGACCAAAGAGCCCAAGGTACACAGCATGCATAGATGCCAGGCACCGGACAGAATCAGAGGACTTATCTCCACAATAACCTTATGAGATAGATATCATTATCCCCATTTTACAGTAGAAAAGGCATGCTCAGAGAGGTGAGGTTACTTGCCCAAGGTCACACAGCCAATTATATGGCAGAGTTGGAACTCCAACCAGGCAGTGCAGCTCAGAAACTCTTAACCACAGTGGAAACCAAGCCTCCCTTGATGACAGAGCGCCCAGAATAGGACAGGTGACAGTCCAGGCTTGGAGGGACGTTAAGCCACTCCCCACGAGAGGAAGCACAGCCAACGCACTGAAGCTGCCTGCTCAGTTTCTTTCCAGGGGAAGAAAATGGCCCAAGTCTTCCTGGAGGATTGAGGTGAGGGTATTAATGGTTGGGGAGGCTTGAAGAGCCTGAACGCCTCCCAAGTAACTCGGCCTCCACTAGCTGAGTTACCTCCAGCGTGGGGGCTGAGGACAGGCTGCACTCAGCCCCTCTCCCCATTAGTGCAGGGGCGGGCCTCAAAGCGCTCTGGAGACTCCACAGGGACAGAGCTACGGTTGCAGCTGCTGCCGCACCTCCACGCCGGGAAAAGGGGACGGGCCCCTCGAAAAGGAAGGAATAAATCTCAAAAGGGAGAAGAGCGCACAGAGAGATCAAGGGAAGGGGGTACACAGAGATCTAAGGCTTGGCGGCAGAAGGGAGAGTAGGAGACCTAGGAGAGGGGGACCCGGTGGGGGAGGGGAGGCGGGAAAGGGGGCGGGGGCTGGGGCTCGGCGCGCCGGGAGGGCCCCTCGCGCCCTCTCCCCTTCCCGCCCGCGGGCGGTGCTGCCTCGCGGGTGCTCACCACCCGTGATCCGCTGCAGCCCCAGCACGTCCTCCGGCCCGATCGGCTGCTTCCTCTGCAGCGGCCCCGGCATGGGCCCTGGGCCTGCGTCCGGCTCCGACTCGGACCCAGATTCGGATTCCGCCTGCGGCTCTGGTATGGGGGCCACGCTCGGGCCCGAGGGCCCTGGAGCGGGCTCCGCCCCCGTACCGGCCCCGCCGCCGCCCTTCTTCACCTTCATGGCCTCGCAGGGCCGCGGCTCGCCTACTGCCGCCGCCGCTGCCTGCGCCGGCTGGAGCCGGGGGAAGGGGGAGCGTCCGCAGCCCCGCCCCCGGCCGGGGCTCCAGGTACCGCCCCGCCCCTGTCCCGCCCCCGGGGCGGGCCCTGCGCTGATCCCGCCCGCCGCCCGGCCCACCCCTGCCGCAAGGCCGCGGGAGCGTGGGAGGGGAGTCGGGGGAGCCCGCCCTGGGCTTCATTCTGTTTTTCTGACACTTTCCTGGTACTAGTGGGGTCCTGACTACCTCTCCGCTTACTCGCTGTGTTCTAGCCTTTCTGCTCGTGAGTTCCAGGCTCAGGGTCTCTGCTTGGATGCTCTTCCCCAGATGGCCTCTTTTCTCCTGGTCACAGCTCAAATGTCATCTGCTCAAACGGTCTCCCTCACGCTCAGTCTAAAGTCCTTCCCCCTCAGTCACCATTTCACCAGCCTGTTTTTTTCTTTCTAATGCAGTATGTGAAATTATTTTTATTTGTCCGCTGACTCTTCCCCCGAAAGCTCAGCTCTGTGAAAGCACTGACCCTGCCTACTTTGTTCTCTGGAGGACCCCAGCAACTAACAGAAGGCTCCCTGCAGCTGGTGCTCAAGATTTTTTTTTTCCTTTTTGAATCTGATGAATGAGTTAGTATCTCAGGTAAAAAGCAGATGCTAACAGCCTTGGGCAATCCAGCTAGGAAGGGCACGTGGCCACGTGGAAGCAAGGTGGACCTGTGGGCACAGGAAGACAGACACCAGGAAACCATTACTTTCGTGTGAATGCAGAAAGAAAGAGTAAAGCTCAGACTTCATATCATTCCAATTCATATTCAGCCAGTGTTTATTAAGAGCCTAATATACGCCAGACACTTTACATGCTGATCACATTTAATCCTCACAACTGCCTTGTAAGGGAGGTATCATCAGTGCCATTTGAGCGAATGAAAATCTGAGGCTCAGAGAGATTCAACAGCTTATCCAAAGTACTCCAGACAATAAGTGCAAAAATAAGAATTTGAATTCACAACTGTTTGATTCCAAATCTGGAACTTGCTGGAACCTCTACCACATACACAGAGCACCACATCCTGAGCTGCTACCTCCTGGACTCCCGTCAGACTGTACCTGACATACGAAGCCAGCCAGGAGGGAGGGGAGTGAGGGAGAAGTTCCCAGAGGTGACCAGTGCCTGGCCCCTTCATAACAGCAGAGGCTAGGGCTCTCCCACAGGGGTTAGGGAGAAGTGTGGAGGGGAGGGGCTTTCCCATAATGCTCCCTCCTCTCAGTGCACCAGTGTGCTATGTTGAGAAATGGGGCAAAAGAACAAACAGTCCCTGCCCCAGAGGGATACAGGCAGCAGCCTTAAAGATCACACAAGATAAAGAGACCTGAATGATGTGCCTTTTGAGGCCCCTCTCAGTGGAGCAGGACTGAGCCAGGGGAATGGGAAAGGAAGGAAAGATGAACCCATCTTGGAGTGTCGTACTTTGGTTGCTAGAGAGCCAACAGTGGAGACTGGAGACGGCAGGCCCCAAGTATGTGCCTCTCATCTAACACCGCCCGTCTTGGCCAGACAGGAAGGCTTCCTATGGAGGTGCTGCCCTGCTCAGTCTGTCTTCTCAGGCTTTTTCCAGGACTTGCGGGTCTCTAGGAAGATCTTGACCAGGGAGAGAAGGATGGGCACAGCCATAGGCAGGAAGAGTGGGATGTAGATGGCAAACTTCTGGTCATCAGGGAAATAAAGGAGGTGGAGGAGTGATGGGTCAAAAAAGGCACGCTCAGAGGATGTCACAGCTTCCTGGCTGGCGACAAAGGCAGATGCCAGGTGCCCAGAGGCCAACTCTTCTGCTGACTTCTGGATTGCAGCTACAGCCCTGTACACCTAGGAAGGAGAAGGAACAAGACGGTATACCAGCAAGTCCTAGGCATTGGTGGGAAGGGAGCTGGGCCTTACTGTGCCTTCCATCTACGGAGGAAGACACTTGAAGTTCATCTGGGATCTCTGGAAGTCTGTCTGAAGGGATATGGTTTATTTTCCAAGGGTCAGCTTGAAAGCTCACACTCTCATCTATACTTCTGCAGGGGAGCTGGTACTGCCGTCTAGAGGAAGCCTGGGAAGATGGCAAGCCCACTCATACCACAGACCTCACAGACTCTCTAACCTCACCACACTCTGGCCCTCTCTGGCTACTCCAGTCCTAAGCCGCAAAATCCATCCCCTGCCTGCTTACCTCAGATGCCACATCATCCTTGATGACAATGTTGCTGATCTTGCCCAGAAGCTGTGCCAGGGAGGTGAGGGTGGTGGTGGCTGTGGCCAGGTTCTCCACTGACCGAGCCCAGAGCAACCGGTCTAACTCCCAGGTCATTAGCCCTTCACTCTTAGGCCCTGAAAGCAGGCATTTTGGAGGCACCTGGGGCTGAGCAATCCCAAAGAGCAACCTGTAGAAACAGCGGAGTAAGATCAAGGTCGCTGAGACCACAAGGTAGGAGAGGATGGCTAAGATTTCTCAAATACCTGTCCTAAGCCAGTGATTTTCAATCTTACCCAGAACCACAGGGGTCAAATGGAAGTACTTCAGGGTTTTGGGGCATAAGTGGCAACACCAAGCAAGTCAGCCGCAAACCCTACTATTCCAACCGGTGTTTCTGCTTTTACCTGTTTCGATATTGTACTTCCAAGATCTTGTTTTTTAAAAAAAGTTCCATGGCTAAAATACTTCTGATAACACCAACTTACTTTAATCCTTTCACCTGCTCTACCCTCTCTTTGAACAAATGGGACCAATGGGACTTAGCATTAAGGGATGATCCAGGACTGCCTTTGCCAAGGCTCATGTGCTGTGCTTCTCTAAGCCTGCATCTGTGACAGACACCGCTAGTCAATCAGAATACTCTTTCCTAATGAGCCCAGATACGGCCTTAGAATCCTCAACACAGAGCCTCAGGCAGCCACTCTCAATCCGTCAGGCAGCACAAGAATTAACAGCTATTGCCTTAAGCAGCCCTAATACCGCCCCATGGACCTGACATTCATGAGTCTATTTTTCTTAGAACTGGTTTTGTCACCTACTAGTCCTTCTTAGAAAAAGGAGGATAGAATCCTTAGAAACCCTTCTTGGTTTCCCTGGGGCTCTGGGCACAGCCAAGATATCCCGCCAGGTA